ATCCGAAATAGTTTCGCCCACAGACATTGGGAGTTTAGGCTCCTAAACTAGTGGCGAAACTCAAAAATTGCCTAAACTGTGGGCGAAACTCCTAAACTGTGGGCGAAACTCCTAAACCGTGGGCGAAACTCCTAAACCGTGGGCGAAACTCCTAAACCGTGGGCGAAACTCCTAAACCGTGGGCGAAACTCCTAAACTGTGGGCGAAATTCCTAAACCATGGGCGAAATTCCTAAACTGTCAAATCTACAATTAAAAAATTTATAAATAACAAAACTTTTACATATATTAATTAATCTATATAAATTAATTTTATTATAAAAAATATTTCCAAAACAACTGAAAATCAAAGAAATCTTTCTGGCATGTACAGCAAAATAATGTAATAATAATTATCCACTTATCACAGAGATGACAATTAGGAATTCAAGCCCCACATTGTTCCAAATGGACAAAAGAATGAAGGAATTTGTGTTTTAACAATGCTGTCAAAAATCCTTTTAAACCCATATTTTTAAAGTTTTAATTAATGAATGAATGCATTTAAAATAAAATAATGAAGAAAAAAAATTTTATTAATTATGTAGATTCACATTACAAAATATAATAAAATTAATTTAACACATTCCTATATTGTTCTGTTTTGTCTTCAAATGAACAATCACCACCATTAAAAAAGCAAAAAATAAACAGACGAAGTTGTATTTGGACATTGACAAGTAAAGGTTTATTTAAGAATCCATGTCATAACATGAATAGTAGAAATTTAAACACTAATATTAATAAGTTTTGCAGTTTAGGAGTTTCGCCCATAGTTTATGTAGGAATTTCACCCACGGTTTAGGAGTTTCGCCCACAGTTTAGGAATTTCGCCCATAGTTTAGGAGTTTCGCCCATAGTTTAGGAGTTTCGCCCATAGTTTAGGAGTTTCGCCCATAGTTTAGGAGTTTCGCCCATAGTTTAGGAGTTTCGCCCACAGTTTAGGAGTTTCGCCCATAGTTTAGGAGTTTCGCCCACAGTTTAGGATTTCGCCCACAGTTTAGGCAATTTTTGAGTTTCGCCAATTTCGCCAGAAAAACTTCATGGGCGAAACTAGGCCTAAACCGAAATTGCCTAAATGCCTAAACTATGGGTTAGTTTCGGCCACCATCACTAGTATACATATTTTTTTGATCTCTTTTACAATAATTTTGTTTAACACCTTCTATCAAATATTATAGGGACAGAAAAAGACCAAACAAAACAAACCTTAGAACTCTACAATCTAGTAGAGTTCTATAGTAAGCTTTCTGATGCAATTGATACAGCTCATCCATTGAATGTGTAATAAAATATAAAGACTTGAAAAAAACTTTTAAGCAATTCAGGTTAAAAAATTTACCAAAAACTATCGTCGATTTCAAGGCTAATCAATTGCCAATTGATTGTGGTGGAACAACAACATACAAAACCATAAAAAGCAAAAAAATTCAGAGAATGATCAGAAACCTTCAACGAGCACTCAAAATTGTTACCTTAATTTCAAAAGAAGGATTTATTAATTCAGGAATTAAATCATCTTTTTTAGAAACCTCTACTAAAAAAATGTGGGTTAATTTCGTAAAAAAAGTCAAAGAAATCATAATAATAATAACAACGAAAATAATAATAACATAAATAATAATGATAATATTGTTGATGTTGCTAATATAGATAGTAGCAACAACTATGTAACTGGCAATGAGATGGAAACGGATTAATATTTAATATTAATATTATATTAAAAATTTATTGTAAACACAAATTTATTCTATAAATAAAGTTTTTGAAAAGATACATTCTAAAACTCAAAATTATTCATTTCTTCGCTCTCTATTTTCTCTTATTTATGTTCTTGTCAAGGAAGCTCTCTAATATTTGAATAAGACTATTTTTTTCCAGCAATTTTAGCTTTTCTTTCGATTATATCCTTTCTTATTACCCATTCCCTCTTAAAGCACTTATGTTTAGTGATACAACGAGAATAAAATTTTATAGCATGCAAATTCCTTTGTATGGTTTTATCTGAAGCACTTAAACATGCAATTTTATTAAATTGGTCTTTTATTTGCTCGAGAGATGATTTAAATATTGTAGAGAAACACTAAATAAAGCTCACCCACAAAATCAAAATTACATTGACAGGCAATTATGGGACAAATATATATTTATTAATTAAAGATACTATATATAATAATGAAATAAAAAATTATAAAACTGTAAATAAACCCAATTATAAAAAATATAATACTATCTAGAAGAAATGATGTCGAAGCTTTTTTTAATTTGTTATTATTTTTAACAAATTTAGCCATATCTGAAAAAATATTAGATTTTTTTGTCAAAATGATTTTTTCAGATGACAAAGCTACTTTTTTTGCCCCTTTAGAAAAAACTCCACAATCAGGAATAACTAAAATGCCTATATTTATTGAATGACAATTAGTTACTACATTTATTAAATCTTTAACCTCTCTTGAACCAACATTTTTAGACCAATTCTATAAAAATAAATATTTAATATATATAATTTAGATAAATTTAATATA